AACGATTACAGTTAGGAAGTTTTTCCTTGTCCGATGTGAGGGTCAGAGGACAGAGGCTGTCGTATTGATATTCTCTACAAACTGTAAAGTCCACTGAGACGAAAGTAACATTGATTGATTGATTTTGTCTCTCTCAGATCCACCGCTGTCGAGGAGGCATCACCTTCTCCCTGCTGACGGCCTGGTTGCTGGGAGCGTATTCCTCTGACATGCACATCTCCACCCAGCGTCACTCCAGAGGAAACAAGCTGCGGAAACTCATCCTGTCCGACGAGCTGAAGCCCTCTAGCCCTCCAGCTGATCCTCACCGCGGGGGGTCTGTCTCCGGCAGCCCCTCTCCGTCTCATCGCCGCTGCCACCGCCGCCACAACAGCAACAACAACGTGGACTCGGCGTCTCCGTTTCCCCCCCCAGAGAGTCCCGTTCTGGGCGAGGGGGAGGTGTTCGTCTCCCCCTCCAGGAAGACCCACCAGAGGTCAAAGTCTGATGTGAACACAGCCAGCAGTGGGTTTGGATCTGGCCTCAGGAGGACAGGAAGTAACCCCAGAGTGGAGGCCGTGCCGGAGGAGGTGAGGCTTTTATTTAGAAACTCGTCTCAGAACCAGGTTTCTCACCAGGTAGCATGACACGTATGAGGAATTTGACTTGGTGTTATGGTGCATACATAAAAGTCAAAGTAAAAACACAGAAAACTATTTAACTCATTGTTGGGAGCTGGGATTTATAAAAGTTAAATAAAATACTGAGATTTTTTTTTTGAAAGTCATCTCAGAGTGTTTGGTTTTATAAAAGTTAAATACTGAGGCTTTTATTTAGTAACTAAACAGTTAAATAAAGTACTGCCACTAATAGAGAGACAGGCCAAGATGATAATGAACATATATATATATATATATATATACCAGATACCACAATAATTAACCCGTGATATCTCCTCTCTGCAGCTGGAGCGTCTTCGGCCTCAGAGAGAATTGGTAAAGTCTCTGCTGGGCATCGGGAGGCGTTTGGCGACGCTGCCGACCAAAGAGCAGAAGACTCAGCGTCTGATCTCTGAACTCTCGCTGTTGAACCACAAGCTGCCCGCTCGAGTCTGGATGCCCACGGCTGAGAACCAGCATCACGTCGTCAGGATCCCAAACACCCAGGCTGTGGTGCTCAACTCCAAGGACAAGGTAACACCGTTAGCTTAGCATAGAGACAAGGGAACACCGTAAGCTTAGCATAGAGACAAGGGATCACTGTTAGCTTAGCATAGAGACAAGGGAACACCGTTAGCTTAGCATAGAGACAAGGGATCACTGTTAGCTTAGCATAGAGACAAGGTAACACCGTTAGCTTAGCATAGAGACAAGGTAACACCGTTAGCTTAGCATAGAG